ATGAGATGAGATGATGTTATTTATTTATTGAGGAAAATGATCCAAAGCTATATATTTGTGTGTGGCAAAAGGATGTGAGCAACTTACCAGAGCAACTTGTGACCTTCCCTGCTGGCTTCCCCATTGACTTTGCTTGTGGGGAGCCAGCAGGGAAGGTTGCAAATGGCAATCACGTGACCACTGGATGCTGCAACCATTGTATGAACAAGCCGGTTGCCAAGCGCCCAAATTGCGATCTTGTGACCGCAGGGGCACTGCAACAGACAGAACTTTGAGGACTGGTAGTAAGTACCACCCATTCACCACCATTGCAACTTTGAACAGTTACTGAACGAGTGGTCAGTAAGCAAGGACTACCTGTAGTTCCTTAGATGTTCTCTGAGACCTCCCAGAGTTTTACACACCTTGCTCTTGGTGTGATCTTGGTTGATCAACCACTCCTGGGAAAGGTAACAGTGGTGTTGAATTGCTTCCATTTGTACATGATCTGTCTGACAGTGGACTGGTGGAGTCCAACTCTTTGGAAATAGTTTTGTAAACTTTTCCAGCCTCCTGAGCATCAACAACTGTTTTTTGGAGGTCCTCATAAATCTCCTTTGTTTGAATCGGGAGCACACTTCCACATACCTGTTTTGTGAAAATCAGACTTCGATAGTGAATACCCAGAATTCTTTTCTTTAAATAAGGCAGGACCTCCCACACTAACCACTGATTATTATCCTGTTGATTGAAACACCTGACTCTAATTTCCCCTTCAAATGAACTGATAATCCTAGAGGTTCACATACTTTTGACACACAAATATATAGCTTTGGATCATTTTCCTCAGTATGAACAGGTATAACTTTTTGACTCATTTGTTAAACTGGGTTCTTTTTATCTAGTTTTAGGACTTGCATGGAGAATAGATCACATTTTAGGTCATATTTATGCAGAAATATTGAAAGTTCAAAAGAGTTCACAAACTTTTAAGTACCACTGTAAATCACTCACCACATCAGTGAGTGAAATGAAGTAATGAGGTTTACTGTACATCGAATTCCTCCAGTTTTTAAAATATTTTATCTTCTCTTTAGGCAGTAATATGGTCTGTACTTCATATAATACTTAAATACAGGATTCATTTCATAAATTTATTTGCCCAGAAATAGAATGTAATCTTTTTGTTTAGTTGGTAGTTGATCATATCTGTATAGCTAGTACCTAATAATTATTAGGTAAGATTATGCTTCAAAATGGATTGACATTTAAAAATTCTATCAAATGCATATTTATTTATTAAATTTCTATACCTTTCAGAGATAAACAGTAATCTAACATTATAAAACATCTGTGTTCTGGACCAGCAATTACAAGTGCAGGAGATCAGGCCTAGATCAGAGTTCTTTATGGCAGTTATAAATCTCTCCATGGTGTAGAAATTGAAGAGCTCAAGAAAACAAACAGGCTTACTTCAGAGCTGAAGTTCCATACAGACAAATCCAAGATCCAGGAATAAGAACTGATTGTACCAGTCCAAAGGTCAGTCAGAGAATCAGAGGAAACACACATTCAGGTCAGATCCAAGGTTGAAAAGTTTCTTTCCAGCAGAGGTCTGACTCCCAGGCCCTTATTTTATACATCAACTTAGGCATGCCTGACCTCTTGAGTCATGCCTCTTTCTGTGAAAAGCCTTATTGAACATCTTAGTTTGACTTGCTTGCTCTTCCTGTACGTGGAAGAGCTGAGAATCTTTTCCTGTTTAGGTGCTAGGTCAGGTGGCTCACACTGCTGATGTGCTTTTATAACAAGTGGCTGATTACCTGACTGCCCCAGACCTGCAAGCTCATCCTCCAACAGGTCCTGCTTTTTCTATGTCCCATCTATAGATATTTGAGAGCCCACTGGCTCCTGAATTGCAAGATCAGAACCTGTCAAACCCTCCTCCTCTGTCTCATCATAACAGAACCAAACCATTCCCAGATGCCATTTGGGGAATTATGTTAGCACATGCCAGACTCATCTAGGAAGAATGTTCCTTCCCATAATAGACACAACCAATCCCACCTCTTGGGCACCAAACAGGTGAGACAAGGAGAGCAATCAGTTATATTCCCAGTCTGTTCCCATGGCACTGAAAAAATCCCCATCAAAACTTACCCCTTGTCAGGCAAACATATACTGTACCTGGAGGAGGTAAGCAACTTGGAGGGAGATAAAGCTAAAGAACAGAGGGCACTGGTACAGGGGACATTGAATGAAGGACCCTAGTCTGTCCTACCCAGAAGCCCCTCTGGAGACCTGATGTCAAGGACCTGCTTCCTCAGGGCAGTGCTTCCCCTTCCAGACTCCAGCAGCTGCCAAACATAGTGCAAGACTTCAGCAGTATCACCAGCACAACCAGGGATGACAATGTACAATTGGGTATCATCATCAAATTAGTGATACTGCACCACAGTGATGGATGACTCCCTCCTCCCATCCAGCCAGTGGCTTCCTGTAGATATTTCAAGGGTATGGGGAGAGGGCTGAACCCTCAGTATTCCACAAGGCAGCAGCTATCAGATTGATATCTTCTCCTCCATAATTGCAGACTGGAATCATTTGCTGAAGGATGGAACCACTGTAAAACAATGACCCCTGCAAGTGATCTAGAAGGATACCAAGGTCAATGGTACTGAAAATTGCTGAGAGGTTGAATATGACTAGAAGGCCCACACTTCCTTCATCTAGGTCCTGATAGAGGTCACCTACTAGTATGTCCAATCCCCAGGTCTAAACCAGAAAACAAGAACACCTTTAGTAGTTTTCTGCGTCAAGTGGGTTATTTCTACAAGTTGGGGGTAACTTGTAGACCCCAAGTTGTCTATCCTTTTTACAGAAATGTGCTATCCTTGATACTTTTCAGTGCAACATTCAAAATGAAGTTGATTCTTTCAATCTTTATCCACCTTGAATTTCAATAAATGGCTATTTTTTTTTCATGTTTGCTTCTATAAAGACAGTTATGGTTTGAATACAATATTTGTGTATGTACATTTGTTTCCAATAACATATTTTTGCTTTAATTCTGACAGGCAATTTATATACAAATTAGAAAACCTTGTTCAGTCAAGTTCATCTGACTTTGGTAAATTTTAAAATATTTTTAATTTATATGTGCCTTACAGTAGTTTGTACAATAAAATTATCTGTGTGTGTGTGTGTGTGTGTGTGTGTGTATGCATGTATTTATTTATATACACACAAACAGATATTTGGAACCTATCGAAGCTTGCCCTATATGTACACATCTATATGGACACACATATTTAATATGCTAGATGATCACTTGCCCAGTAAATGTGCCTGAACTTCTTGGACCATTATAATAAAAAGCGGGCAAATTCCATCCTATACAAGAAAGTAATCAGATACAGAGAATCCCTGGGTTAAGAATGCCTGGGTTACAGATGACCCATAATTAAGGACAGAACTTATTGTAGCAACGTTTGAGTTAAATACACAATGGTTCAAGTTAATTAGACAATACTACTTATACAGTATTATACAATAATACTGTTCCAGCTTACATAGAAATTCAACTTAAGGACAGACCTTGGGAATGGAACTAGGGGACTACCTGTACATATGTGTTTTCCACTGTCTGCCCTTATAAATTTAAGAGACACATTTTGGCCCAGGAATTTTGAATTGTTTTAAGGAATTATTTATTTTTCTGGGTATATTTTTAGTTATGCTGTTTTAGCTTATTATTTGCTCTACATGTGTGTATGGCATAATGCCTTAATGATTCTTCTGGGACAGAAAGGCAGGAGGGAAAGCAAATGAAATATTATCATCCTGATGTTCTGTGATATACAGTGCTTAAGAAATTTCACATCCCTATTTTTCTAAAAAGCAAATCTTAAAAACAGTTGTTGTTGTTCAGTCATTAAGTCGTGTCCAACTCTTCATGACCCCATGAACCATATTGCGCCAGGCCTTCCTGTCCTTCACTGCCTCCCTGAGTTTGCTCAGACACACATATGTACACACAAACACACACACACACACACACAC